GACTATTTATCTGAACTAGAGATCCCTTGAATGTGCACACAAAAAGTGAATGGCTCATTTGATAAGGTAAAGATTAATTTCTGAAGAGGGGGAAAAGAGAAAGAGGGGAGGGGGAATAGAGGGAAAAAAAGAAAGTAAAGGGAATCTGCTGCAGATGAATATGAAATCAACACCCAAAAAAAGGCTAATTATGTTTCCTCTGAAAAGAGAGGGAGGAAGGTTTTTATGTAAAAGAATAGATTTTGAAATAAAAAAAGAGTGACATTAAAATTGGTTTAAGCCCTTGGCGATTTTATCAATTAACCAGCACTTATTAATTCCTAAAGTATGGAAATAAAAGAAGGGGCTATCACCAACTTTGAACAAAAGAATCACTGTTAGTCAAACAGAACAATCTTCTCTTGAAGATTTCTTCACTTTTCTAAAGTGCCTCTGAAGTAAACCATCGTGTTTGTATTCAAAGTTCCTCAGCGTGGCCATTGCGATTCCAGATTGTCCTTGGTGAAACTGTGCCCGCTGTAGAGATAAACATGCACGTTTGTGTTACAGTGCGGAAATCTGAAAGAAACAGGTATCTGGAAGAAGTGCAGTTTTAGATTGAGTGGAGCCCATCAGAGGTGAACTTGTCTGACCTTGATTCTCCGATCTTGAGTCTCCAGAATTTGGGCAAAAGTCAATTGTCTACAATGAGGGCTGAGAAACGAAAAAAAGATAAGACAGAGGAAGTCCTTACAAGTTTTTAAATGGTGACCTGACACAAAGTTTATCCAAAGGCCAAAGTTTGTCCAAAGCATGTGAGTCCTGAATTCTCAGTCCCTGGAGCCAGAGGACAGACTTATGGGGACTTGGCTTGTCCTTGCCTTATGGGCTTTTCCTTGTATAAACGAACAACACTCAGGACAATAGACAAATCATAGAACAGATGTTAGAGGCTAGAAAACAATATTTCTGACTGACTAGATTTGCAACAAGTTTTACAGACTAGAAAGACTCTGAGGATCTATTCCTAGGAAAACAAAATAAACACATTGTTGACAGTTCTCAACAAAATATCAGAGCCTAGCCATGAACAGGGTCCCACATGTATGCATCATTACTGAGTCAAGGGTACTTGCTTAAGGCAGCAAGGACTTCAGAAGAATCTCATGACACTCCATTTTTGTCAGTCCTTCAGAGCCCAAGACCACCAAAAACACTCCTGTAATGGAACAAGTTGGCTTTATTACTAATAGCAACAAAGCTTTTGAAAGTCTTCTCTCATCTTCCTGAGGAATCACCTCTCCAGGTGTACAGAGACAGTGTGGGTAGGTTGTCAGGAAAGGGAGAGGAAGGAGAGCTTCCCTAAGTGAAAACCTAAGTGTTTTCCTAAACACAAGCACCACTGAGCAGTTTGTAGATGGAATTTTGCAATCAAAATTGCAGGGTATTCTGTTCAAGCCACACCTTTTTTTCCCTCCATTTTGAGATAATTAAAAATTCCCATGCAGATGTTAAAAAAAATAGAAAAATCTCTTGTATCCTTTCCCCCAATGGTAACATCTTGCAAGACCATGGTATATCAGAACTCGGCTTTGTTTGTGTGTGTGTGTGTGTGTGTGTGTGTGTGTGTGTGTGTATGTGTGTGTGTCAGAGTCTCACTCCATCAACCAGGCCGGAGTGCAACTGTGTGATCACAGTTCACTTAGCCTTGATCTCCTGGGCTCAAGTGATCCTCTCATCTCAGCCTCCTGAGGAGCTGGGACTGCAGGCATGCACCACCACACCTGGCTAATCTGTTTCATTTTCTTTCCTTTCTTTTCTTCCTTCCTTCCTTCTTTCTTTCTTTCTTTCTTTCTTTCTTTCTTTCTTTCTTTCTTTCTTTTTCTTTCTTTCTTTCTTTCTTTCTTTCCTTCTTTCTTTCTTTCTTTCTTTTTTTCTTTTCTTTCTTTCTTTTTCTTTCTTTCTTTCTTTCCTTCCTTCCTTCCTTCTTTCTTTCCTTCTTTCTTTCTTTCCTCTTTTTCTTCTTTCTTTCTTTTTCTTCTTTCTTTTTCTTTCTCTTTCTTTTCTTTCTCTTTTTTTCTCTTTCTTTTTTCTTTCTTTCTCTTTCTGTCTTCTTTCTTTCTTTTTCATTCTTCTTTCTTTCTTTTCTTTCTTTCTCTTTCTCTCTCTCTCTCTCTCATAGAGATAGGGTCTCACTATGGTGCCTAGGCTCATCTCAAACTCCTGCACAGCCCAAATATTGACGTTAATACAGTTATGATGTAGAACATTTCTGTCACCACAAAGGTGCCTCAAACTTCACTTTTTAGCTACCTCTACTTCCCTCCCACACCCACTGCCTTCTTAATCTCTGGCAATTACAAATCTGTGTTCTCCATTTCTATAAATTTGTCAATTGAAGGATGTTATATAAATGGGATCACACTGTATGATTAGTTTTTATTTTCATATAGCATAGCTCCCTAGAGATTTATTCAAGTTACCAAATGTATTAATGGTTCACTCCTTTCGCTGCCGAGTAGAACTGCATGGTATGCGTGTACCACTGTTTAACTATCGAAGGCTAACTGAGTTATTTCCAGTTTGAGGCTATCACAAATAAAACTGCAGTAATCACTGACTTATAGGTTTTTATGTTACCATAAGTTTTCATTTCCCTGGGATAAATGCCCAGGAGTATAATTACTGGAATGCATGGTAATTGCATGTTTAGTTTTTTAGGAAACAGCCAAATTGTTTTCCAGAATGACCATATCATTTTACACTCTCACCAGCAATGTCTGAGTGATCCAGTTTCTCTGTATTTGGTGTAGTCACTATTTTTTATTTAGCCATTCTAATAAGTATGTAGTAATATCTCATTGCGGTTTTAATTTGCATTTCCCTAATGGCCAATAAGGTTGAACAATTTTTTATGTGCTTATATGCTACCTGTATATCTCCTGAAATGTTTGTTTCTATCTTTTGCCCATTTTCTAATTGGTTTTTTTATTTGTTTGCTTGTTTTACTGTTGATTTTCAAGAGTTCTTTATATATTCTAAATAATCCTGTTTTGATAAGTGATTTGCAAATATTCTGTCCCAGTCTGTAGCTTATATTTTCATCCTCTTAGCAGAGTATTTTGTGGAGCAAAAATTTATCATCTTGATGAGCTCCAATTTATCAGCTTTTTCTTTTATGGATCATGTTTTTGGTGTCAAGTCAAAGAACTCTTTGCCAGTCCTAGATCCCAAAATTTTTTTTCCTAAAAATTTTATAATTTTACATTCTAGGGAAAACTAGGTTCTAAGATGGCTGAATAGGAACAGCTCCAGTCTACAGCTCCCAGTGTGAGCAATGAAGAAGATGGGCGATTTCTGCATTTCCAACTGAGGTACCAGGTTCATCTCACTGGGGCTTGTCAGACAGTGAGTGCAGCCCACGGAGCAGGGCAGGGCATCACCTCACCTGGGAAGCACAAGGGGTCGGGGAATTCCCTTTCCTAGCAAAGGGAGGCCGGACAGACGGTACCTGGAAAATCAGGACACTCCCACCCTAATACTGCGCTTTTCCAATGGCCTTAGCAAATGGCACACCAAGAGATTATATCCCTCTGACCCACCTGGCTCATTGCTAGCACAACAGTCTGAGATTGAACTGCGAGGTGGCAAATCAAAACCACAATGAGATACCATCTCACACTAGTTAGAATGGCAATCTTTAAAAAGTCAGGAAACAACAGGTGCTGGAGAGGATGTGGAGAAATAGGAATGCTTTTACACTCTTGGTGTAAACTAGTTCAACCATTGTGGAAGACAGTGTGGTGATTCCTCAAGGATCTAGAACTAGAAATACCATTTGACCCAGCCATCCCATTACTGGGTATATACCCAAAGGATTATAAATCATGCTACTATAAAGACACATGCACACCTATGTTTATTGCGGCACTATTCACAATAGCAAAGACTTGGAAACAACCCAAATGTCCATCAATGACAGACTAGATTAAGAAAATGTGGCATGTATACACCATGAAATACTATGCAGCCATCAAAAAGGACGAGTTCATGTCCTTTGTAGGGACATGGAGGAAGCTGGAAACGATCATTCTCAGCAAACTATCACAAGAACAGAAAACCAAACACCACTTGTTCTCACTCATAGGTGGGAACTGAACAATGAGAACACTTGGACACAGGATGGGGAACATCACACATTGGGGCCTGTCATGGGGTGGGGGAAGAGGGGAGGGAATAGCATTAGGAGATATACTTAATGTAAATGATGAGTTAATGGGTGCACACACAAACATGGCACATGTATACATATGTAACGTGCACGTTGTGCACATGTACCCTAGAATTTAAAGTATAATAATAATTTTTTAAAATTTGCATTCTACATGAAGTCCGTGCTGCATTTTAGTTAATTTTTGTATAAGGTGTGAGATTTGGTTCAAGGTTTGTTTTTTTGCCTATGGCTATCCAATTGCTCCAGCGCCTCTGAAAAGCCTGTCTTTCCTCCACTGTATTGTTTTTGCACTTTTGTAAACAATTAGTTGAGCATAGTTATGTGAGTTTGTTTCTGGGTTTGTATTCTTTTCTGTTGATCTATGTGTTTGTCCTTCAGCCAATACCATACAATCTTAATTACTTTAGCTATAAAATAAGTCTTGAAATTAGATGGATTGATTCTTCCCACTTCAATCTTCTTTTTCAAAATGTTTTAGCTATTCTAGTTCCTCTGCCTTTTCATTTAAGATTTAGAATAATCCTATCAATATCTACAAAAAAAACTTACAAGGATTTTACTGGGAATTGCATAATTTTGTGTATAAATCTGGGGATAATTGATATCTTTATTCCATTGCCTTCTAATCTATGGCATGGCATGTTTCTTTACAACTTTAATTTCTTTCACCAGTAATTTGTAGTTTTCAGCATTCAAGTCCTGTACATGTCTTGTGAGATTTACACCTGTCTTTCATTTTAATTTTGAATGAATATAAACAGTATTGCATTGTTAACTTCAGTGTGTTCATATGCGTGTTACTAGTATATAAAATATAATCGATTTTCTATGTTTATTTTGTATTCTGCCACTTTGCAAAATTCACTTATTAGCTCTATGAGATTTTCCTTTTCTTTGTGTGTGTGCATGTATGTGTATGTTTGTAGGTCTCTTGGGATTTTCTATGTAATTATGTCATCTACAAATAGGAAGTATTTTATTTCTTCCTTTCTAATCTATATGATATTTATTTCCTTTTTGTGTTTTTGCCTCATTCCACTGGTTAGAACTTATAGCACTATGTTGAATAAGATCAGTGAGAATGGACATCCTTGCATTGCTCCTGATCTTATGGGGGAGACACTCAGTCTTTTACTATGAAGTATAATGTTATCTATAGGTTTTTTTGTATATGCTCTTTATCAGGTTGAGGAAGTTCCTCTTTACTCCTATATTTCTGAGAGTTTTGATTGTGAATGGATATTGAATTTTGTCATGCACTTTTTAAAATATTAATTGATATGATTACTTGGTCATGGTGTATAATTCTTTTCATATATTGCTAAATTATATTTGATGGTATTTTGCTAAGGATATTTTGCACCTATATTCACAGGGGATATTCATCCATAGTCTTTTGTTTTGTTCTGTATTATCTTTGCCTCATTTTGGTATCAGGGTAATACTTAGCTTCAATAAAATAAATTGAGAAACACCTTTCTCTTCTATTTTCTGGAAGACACTGCATGAAATTGATGTTAATTCTTATTTAAATAGTTGGTAGAATTCTCCAGTGAAGCCATCTGAATCTGGAGGTTTCTTTTTTTAGAGATTTTCAATTAAGAATTTAATTTCCTTAATAGTTATGGGGATATTCAAATTATCTACTTAATGTTGAGTGAGTTATTTTTCATTTTATGAGGAATTAGTCTAGTTCCTCTAAGTTGTGAAATTTATGTTTGTAGGGTTATTCAAAGTTTTTCTCATTATTCTTTTGATGCCTCAGGTATCTATCGATAGTGTTATCTCCTGTTTTATTCCTGACAATGGAAATTTATGTCTGTTCTATTTTTTTTGTACCTCTTGCTAAAGATTTGTCAGGAGATGTAATATTTTATTTAATATATGCAATTTTTAGTTCATTATTGTCTTCATCTGTTCTGCTACTATAAGAAAGTTACCTGGCCAGGCATGGTGGCTCACGCCTGTAATCTCACACTTTGAAGGCCAAGGTGGTAGGATCACTTGAGCTCAAGAGTTCAAGACCAACCTGTGCAACATGGAGAGACAGCATCTCTACAAAAAAAGAAAAATAGCTGGGCATGGTGGCATGCACCTGTAATCAATTGTATTGATTGTTTTCAAATAACCAGTTTTTCATTTCATTTTTTTCCCTATTTTTTTCTGTTTTCAATTTCTTGATTTCTGCTCTTTACTATTTCCTTCCTTTTGCTTGCTTTTTTTTTTTTTGAGGATGGAGCTTATATTCTTATTTCGTGACTTTTCCTTTTTGTAATGTATGCATTTAATATTATACAGTTTTGTCCTAATACTGCATTTGCTACATCTCACAAATTTATATTTTCACTTTTATTCAGTTCAATATATTTTTTGTTTCCCTTGAGACTTCCTCTTTGACCCATGGATTATTTAGAAGTGTGTTGTTTAGTTTTCAAGTGTTTTGAGGATTTCTTGTTATCTTTCTGCTGCTGATTTCTAGTTTGATTCCCTTGTGGTTAGAAAACACATTCTATATTATTTCAATTATTTGAAATCTATCGAGGCTTGTTTTATGTCCCAGGATGTGGTTTATCTTGGTATACGTTTTGTGAACACTTAAAAGCTTAAGTATTTTGCTCTTGTTGGGTGAAGTGTTTTATACATGTCAATTTGATCCTGTTTGTTGATGGTGTTTTTAGTTTTTCTATACCTTTGTTGAGTTTTTGTCTATTTGCTTCATCAATTGCTGAGAGAGGTCCTTGAAGTCACCAAGTATCTCTCCTTTCAGTTTTATCAGTTTTGCTTCAGTTTTGCCACTCTGTTGTTTGGTGCATACCCATTTAGAATTGGTATGTCTTCTTAGTGGTTAAACCCTGTTATTATTATATAGTGTCCCTCACTGTCTCTGGCAATGTCCTTTGCTTTGAAGTCCATTTTATTTGATACTAAAAGAGCTATCCCTTATTTCCTTTGATTTGAATAGCAAGCATTTTTCCATCCTTTTACTTTCAACCAGCCAATACTGCTATTTGAAGTGTTTGTTGTAGGCAGTACATAATTGGGTCATTTAAAAAATATATTCCATTCCTCTATCTTTTAATTGGTATATTTAGATTACTTGTATTTAATGTAATTATTGATGAATCAGGGATGTCTGCCATTTTATTTTTTGTTTTCTGTTTTTATTGTCTCTCTTCTTTTTCCTGCCTCGTTGTTGGTTATCTGAATGCTTTTTAGAATTCCATTTTTATTTATCTGTAATGTTTTTGAGTGTATCCCTTTGTATATCATTTTAGTGGATGCTCTAGGTATTTTCTCTCTCTATATATATATATAAAGATATATATATGTATATATATAAAGATATATATATGTATATATATAAAGATCTATATGTATATACATAAAGATATATATATAAAGATATATATAAAGATATATATGTGTATATATATCTTATGATAGTCTATTAGCATCATCATTCTACCAATTCAAGTGAAGTATAGAAAATTTATTTCCTCTTACATCTCTTTACCTTCCCTCATTTATAATATAATTGTCTTAATAATTCCTCTACATCCATTTAAAACCACATCAGGCAGCATTAACGTTTTTATTTCAAAACATTAAATGTAACTTTGACTCTAAAAGAGAAGGACAGCCTATTGTATTTACACATATTTTGGCTTACCATGTTCTTTCTTATTTTCTAATATTCTAAGATTCCTTCTTTTATGAATTCCTTTCTGCTTAGATAACTTCCTTTAGTCATTATTTGTTGTTGTTGTTGTTGTTGTTGTTTTTAGATGGAGTTTCACTCTAGTTGCCCAAGCTGGAGTGCAATGTTATGATCTCAGCTCATTGCAACTTCTGCCTCCCAGATTCAAGCGATTCTCCTGCCTCAGCCTCCCAGGTAGCTGGGATTACAGGCACCTGCCACTAGGCCCAGCTAATTTTTGTATTTTTAGTAGAGATGGAGTTTCACCATGTTGGCCAGACCGGTCTTGAACTCCTGACCTCAAGTGATCCACCAGCCTCAGCCTCCCAAAGTGCTGGAATTACAGATGTGAGCTACCATGCCCAGCCTGGTCATTCTTTTAAGATAGATCTGCTGACAACAAAGTCTCAGTTTTCTGTCTGAAAAAGTCTTGATTTTCTCTTTGTACTTGAAGGATGTTTTTGCTGGACATAGAATGCTAGGTTGGCAGGTCTTTTCTTTCAGCATTTGAGAAATGTGCCATTTCCTTCTGTCCTCCACAGTTTCTGATGAGAAATCTGCTATTCAGTAGTTTTAGGCTGCAATATCACAGGGAGGTATTCATGTCAACATGGGCACCAGGTCACAAGTTCCCTAAGTTTGAAGTGTCAACTTCGACCAAACAAATTAATGGCTATTCTATATTCAAAAATCAGGAAGTTTAAATTTATTATGAAGTGTAATGCAGCATATATTAAAGACTTAACCAGCGTTTTAAAACTCAACTTTCAAAGAAAAGATAGTATTGCTCCCTGTTTCATTAAAACCTAGAGAGATGTAATCGGTAAGCAAGAAGGAAAAAGGGAAATTCACAAAGTAACTTTTTATGTCTGTTTCTTTTTAACCCAGCATGGAAAGAAAATTTATGTCCTTGCATCCATCCATCTCCGTATCAGAAATGGAACCAAATGGCACCTTCAGCAGTAACAACAACAGCAGAAACTGCACAATTGAAAACTTCAAGAGAGAATTTTTCCCAGTTGTATATCTGATAATATTTGTCTGGGGAGTCTTGGGAAATGGCTTGTCCATATATGTTTTCCTGCAGCCTTATAAGAAGTCCACATCTGTGAATGTTTTCATGCTAAATCTGGCCATTTCAGATCTCCTGTTCATAAGCACACTTCCCTTCAGGGCTGACTATTATCTTAGAGGCTCCGACTGGATATTTGGAGACCTGGCCTGCAGGATTATGTCTTATTCCTTGTATGTCAACATGTACAGCAGTATTTATTTCCTGACCGTGCTGAGTGTTGTGCGTTTCCTGGCAACTGTTCACCCCTTTCGGCTTCTGCATGTCACCAGCATCAGGAGTGCCTGGATCCTATGTGGGATCATATGGATCTTTACCATGGCTTCCTCAGTAATGCTCCTTAACAATGGCTCTGAGCAGAAGGGCAGTGTCATATCATGCTTAGAGCTGAATCTCTACACAATTACTAAGCTGCAGACCATGAACTATATTGCCTTAGTGGTGGGCTTCCTGCTGCCGTTTTTCACACTCAGCATCTGTTATCTGCTGATCATTCGGGCTCTGTTAAAAGTGGAGGTCCCAGAATCGGGGCTGCGGGTTTCTCACAGGAAGGCACTGACCACCATCATCATCACCTTGATCATCTTCTTCTTGTGTTTCCTGCCCTATCACACACTGAGGACCCTTCACTTGGTGACATGGAAAGAGGATATATGCGAAGACAGGCTGCATAAAGCTGTGGTTATCACACTGGCCTTGGCAGCAGCCAATACATGCTTCAATCCTCTGCTCTATTACTTTGCTGGGGAGAATTTTAAGGACAGACTAAGGTCTGCACTCCGAAAAGGCCATCCATAGAAGGCAAAGACAAAGCGTGGTTTCCCTGTTAGTGTGTGATTGAGAAAGGAAACAAAAGTATAAGGAGTTCTTAGATGAGACTTGTTCTTGTATCATTGTGTCCATCTTCATTCACGCATAGTCTCCAAATGACTTTGTATTTACATCATTCCCAACAAATGTTGATTCTTAATATTTAGTTGACCATGACTTTTGTTAATAAGAACGACTTCAAAAATTTTATTCAGTATATTTTCAGTTGTTGAGTCTTAATGAGGGATACAGGAGGAAAAATCCCTACTAGAGTCCTGTGGGCTGAAATATCAGACTGGGAAAAAATGCAAAGCATATTGGATCCTACTTTTCTCCAGATATTGAACCAGATATCTGGCCCATCAGGCTTTCTAAATTCTTCAAAACAGCCACAACTTCCCCAGCTTCCCCAGCTCCCCTGCCCTCTTCAATTCCCTGAGATATAGCCAACTAACGACGCTACTGGAAGCCCCAGAGCAGATAAGAAGCACATCCTAAGATTCAGGGAAAGAAGAGGAAGGCTGTCCTATAACAAAGCAACTTCAAGTCCCAAGTAAGGACAGTGAGAGAAAAGAGGGGAGAAGGATTGGAGCAAAAGAGAACTGGCGATAAGTGGGGGAAGGAATAATTTCATTTTGCACTGGGAGAGAGGTTCTAACACACTGAAGGCAACACTATTTCTATTGTTTCTCTCTTGCCAGGGTATTAGGAAGGACAGGAAAAGTAGGAGGAGGCATTGCCCTGGGAAATGAAAGAATTGTGTATAGAATGGAAGGGGGAGCATCAAGGACATGTATCTCAAATTTTCTTTCTGTCCTTGCTGCAGTTCTCCTTCCCATTAATTCATTGGGATGGAAGCCAAAAATAAAAGAGGTGCCTCTGAGGGTTAGGATTGGGCACTCAAGGGAAGGATAGAGTAGAGGGCAAATTGCAAAAGTTGTTGCACTCCTGAAATTCTATTAACATTTCGGCAGAAGATGAGCAGGGTGATGCTGCCTTCCCTTTTGAGATAGTATAGAAAAACACTAGATAGTGTGAGAGGTTCCTTTCTGTCCACTGAAACAAGACTAAGGGTACTACCAGCTACTACCACCATGACCACTGTACTGCCAACAATTGAATGCAGTCCCCCTGCAGGGCAGATTATGCCAGGCACTTTACATTCTTTGATCCCATTTGACATTCACACCAAAACTCTGAGTTCCATGTTACAGCTGAAGAAATTGAAGCTCAGAGAAATTAAGAAGCTTTTTTAAGTTTACACAGCTAGTAAGAGTTTTAAAAATCTCTGTGCAGAAGTGTAGGCTGGGTGCTCTCCCCACTGCTATCCTTGTAAACTTCCAGGAAGATTGGTTGAAAGTCTGAATAAAGTGTCTCCTCTCCTACCAGTTTCCTCCCCCTCCTCACTCTCACAAGAAAACCAAGCATTTCTCTTTAGAGTTGTTGACTCAGTACAGTAAAGGGTGGAGGGGATATGGCATTCTGAAGGTAGGGAGGGACTAAGTCAGTCTTCATACTAAGCACAAATCCCAGTACCTTTTCCTTATTTAGCTACCAGAATGATGACGGACTCAAACCCTGTCAAGACAGGACCCTGGAGGATCCACCTATGGGGAAACTGCATTATCTGAAAAAATGGCTGACAGATACGAACAGTTGAGGATCCTTCAACACAAAAACTGGGTATCTGCCCTGTTACTCACCTGACAATGAAGCCCACAATGCAACGAATCCCTTCCACTCACAGCATTTGGTCAACCTGTCAGAGCCTCATTCTTAATTATGAACAACAGTCAATGAACACAATACATTAGAGGGAAAGGCCCTAACACGAAAGGCACTAACAAATAAATGTGAGAGTAGATAGAGACCTTTTGAGTATAACTGGTCCTCCGAAATAAGAGATTAAACCAAGATAGAGAAAAACACAGTAAGTAGGAAATAAGGAATCTGACACAGGTGAGAGTGAAGGGAATTCCCAGGATGTTGGTGTGTAGCAGGCTTAGAAAGCAACTCATTCATGTTGGAGCAGGACTCTTAAGGGACTCTAGGAGAGATGTCTCCCAGAAAAACAAGAAATTAATTGATTCATGCACATTGAGAGGGATTTAGATTTCTCTTGCAGAGATTGAGATAAAGTAGTGACAAATACATAGAAAAATAAGCAAGTGAAAACACAATACAGTTTTTAAATGATAGAGGAAAAGAAACTTTTGTATTAGAGAGGAAATATAACCATAGTACACTACATGGCTCAGCTGTGAATAATATTTACATAGAGGATAATGTGAATATAGTAGTTCCCCATTATCTGTGGTTTTGCTTTCTGCAGTTCAGTTACAGCCAACCAGTCTGAAAATATTAAATGGAAAATTCCAGAAATAATTCTTAAGTTTTAAAACATGTACTGTTTTGAGTAGCATGTTGAAATCTCACACAATCCCACTCCACCCATGTTCTGGGCATGGCAAAGTGGGATGGTGTGAGATTTCTCCAGTGGATCCACAATGTATATGCTACCCACCCATGAGTCACTTAGTCATTATCCAGTTGATCAGACCAACTGTTGTGGTATAGCAGTGCTTGTGTCAAAGTCACTCTTATTTTACTTAATAATGTCCCCAAAGCATAAGAGTAGTGATGCTGGCAAATAAGATACACCAAAGAGAAGCTGTAAAGTGCTTCTTCTAACAGAAAAGGTGAAAGTTCTTGACTTAATAAAAGTCATGCTTTTTTTAGCATGACTAAAAAAAAAAAACACATGCTGAAGTTGCTAAGATCTACAATAAGAACAAATCCATCTGTAAAATTGTGAAGAAGGCAAAAGAAATTTGTGCTAGTTTTGCTATTGTACCTCAAGTTGCAAAACTTATTTATTACACCCCACGGTGTGTAATAAATGCTTAGTTAAGATGAAAAAGTATTACATTTATGGGTGGAAGACATGAAGAGAAATGTGTTCCAATTGACAGCAATCGGGTTTGGTACTATTTGTGATTTCAGGAATCTATTGGGGGTCTTGGAATGCAACTCCCACAGATAAGGGGGCGCTGTTGGAGTGAAATACTGTGATATAACCTGTTTTTCAGGAAATGAAGGGACAAGATGTGCACATGTGTGGGAGAAGCATAAGAAACCTAAGTTGCCATATTCCATCACAGAAAATGCATAATAACTAAAGCTGGAAAATGATGAATAGCTGTACAACCATATTATTTAGCAATAGGAGGTAAATACAGGTAGAAGCAGAAGAAAGAATGGGCAGGGATTACCTCTATGGAGAAGTTGGGGGTGGGAGGATAGGGTGGGGACTTCTCATTTTGAAAACTGTGTAATTGCCTAACTTGTGAATATGTATTTCTGAAGTAAAATGAAAATTAAGTTAAAATTAAATTTTAACATTCAAACTAATTCTGAGTTGTTTTTTAAAAACAAAAAAGACAGGAAAGGCCATCAGAAATGGAAACTGAACATTGGCAGAAAAAAGGAAAGTAGGAAAGGACTAGAGTTGGATTTCGATTCTTGAGAGAAGCCCATCTAGTCCTGCCATGGGAGACAAGTCCTTTCTTGGGGTGAGGAAAGTCACTTTCTGGGATTAGAGGAGATCTGATGTGTTACTTGGGATATTTTCAGTTGCAAGTAACAGAAAACCCAACCCCAAATGGCTTACATAATAAAGGAATTTGATTATCTCATATAACTGAAATATACTAAGGGAAGTTGGACTTCAGGCCCTGTTCAACCAGGGCCTCTGTGGGCCTTCCTCCCCAGATGTTGGCTCTGCCATGTGGGTGAATCCCCTCATGGAAACAAGCTGACTGCAAGCAGCCTGAGGCTACTTCCTTATTTGTTTCTAAAACAAACTAATGAAGAATGGATTACTCTGGATGAGGATGATGACAGTACACACCTAAAGTAGTTGGGGTGAAACCCACTGAAATCTCAGCTGGGAAAGGGGTAAAATGGGGCTTGCAGTGGCCACATATGTACTGCAAATGAGGTGGAGATAGAGCTGCCAACCAGTCAGGCATCCATGCCGGGTGTGGCCTATACCTGAGCAGGCAGCCGGGCAGCTTTGGAGGGTGGGGGTAAATGTGGGCTCTAGGAAGAAGGGCAAAAGTTAAATTTTGAATTTCGATTGTGAAGTCATAGGGATGTTCAATTATCAATGAGAAACCTTAACAATTTTCCAAGGGCAAAGTGGCCCAAATAAAGCTGGGAGTAACAGAGCAAACAAGGTCCTTAGGATGAGCAATAAGGGAGGGGTTGTGAATTATTAGTGTCTAAGGTGTGTGTGTGTGAGAGAGACAGAGAGAAATGTAATGGCTTGCTTTTCCTTTTTCCAGCCGGAGTGAAGCCTCCTATTTGTTGAGATATGTCCTTGGAGAGGAAACAAAATGGAAGTCTTTATTTACCATAGCAAAAGCCAAAAGTGTCCTGGGGTTTTGGACACAGCTCTTTTTGATTAAGAGAGTGGGTATTTCCTCAAGCAAATACATACATTGTTCAACTGGGAGAAAGGATTTTTGTCGTGTAAACTTTGGTGGAATTATGAGACTGAAACTGTGCTTTCTCAATGGGGACCTAAGAAGCAAATGCCATTATATTTTGTAACTGTGTTAAATTCTTTATTTTGGATTTGATTAAGCTGATTTTCAGTTTATTCTGAAGTAGAGATTATGTCAAACTGGCCAAAGATGGGTTAGGAGAGGACATGGCTTTCTATAGATAATTTATTTTTCTGTTTTGAAAATAATTTGAAATTAGAGACCCAATCAGGGGAAAATGAGAGTGGGGAGTGGGCACAGGGGTAACTCTAGGGATGGGTTGATGGAAGATCCTTACTCTGAAGACATCTCATCCCCAAGCAGATGAAGGCAACTGCTTGGGGCTAATAAAAGCCACCAAGAGAAATATAATGAGAAAAAGACTTGTTAGAATGTTAATATGTATTTTAAAGCTCTAATAAGTTTCCTTAAAGTATAGCATTGGCATAAGAATCCACAGAGAGATTAAATAAATAGCTTGGACACAGATGCTAATTTATCTGGGGAGTTTGAAAAGCCTCAGAAGAGGTAGCTGCATGATGTGCTGAGGAGGCTAAATTCTAAGCCCAAGAACCTCCATCCCCAACCCCTGAAGACCCCTACATCCCAAGTGTGGGGTGACAGCAGGGAGAACCTGCAGCTTAGGTCAGTGGACCAGTGTGTACTGGTGGTTGCCTATCAGAGGAGTCTCCCTAATGAGCTGGCTCATGTATGGCCTCAGGATCTTTGCATAACCTTCAAGTTAGGGAAAAACAAACCATCATATTGCTCACAAATTGGAAAGCCATTGTGACAAC